GAGGGTTTACACACAGCTGTGACCAGTCACGGGGATATCTGTGAAGCTACAAGGAGCAATATGAGGGTTTACACACTACTGTGACCAGTCACGGGATATCATGTGAAGCTACAAGGAGCAATATGAGGGTTTACACACTACTGTGACCAGTCACGGGGATATCTGTGAAGCTACAAAGTGTACTGTGAGGGCGAGATGAACTCACACTGCTGTGAACAGTCACGGGGATATATGTGAAGCTACAAGGTGTACTGTGAGGGCGAGATGAACTCACACAGCTGTGACCAGTCACGGGGATATCTGTGAAGCTACAAAGTGTACTGTGAGGGCGAGATGAACTCACACAGCTGTGACCAGTCACGGGGATATCATGTGAAGCTACAAGGAGCAATATGAGGGTTTACACACTGCTGTGACCAGTCACGGTGATATCTGTGAAGCCACAAGGAGCAATATGAGGGTTTACACACTACTGTGACCAGTCACGGGGATATCTGTGGAGCTACAAGGAGCAATATGAGGGTTTACACACTGCTGTGAACAGTCACGGGATATCTGTGAAGCTACAAGGAGCAATATGAGGGTTTACACACTACTGTGACCAGTCACGGGGATATCTGTGAAGCTACAAAGAGCAATATGAGGGTTTACACACTGCTGTGACCAGTCACGGGGATATCTGTGAAGCTACAAGGAGCAATATGAGGGTTTTCACACTGCTGTGAACAGTCACGGGGATATCTGTGAAGCTACAAAGTGAACTGTGAGGGCGAGATGAACTCACACAGCTGTGACCAGTCACGGGGATATCTGTGAAGCTACAAGGAGCAATATGAGGGTTAACACACTGCTGTGACCAGTCACGGGGATATCTGTGAAGCTACAAGGAGCATTATGAGGGTTTACACACTACTGTGACCAGTCACGGGGATATCATGTGAAGCTACAAGGAGCAATATGAGAGTTTACACACTACTGTGACCAGTCATGGGGATATCTGTGAAGCTACAAAGTGTACTGTGAGGGCGAGATGAACTCACACAGCTGTGAACAGTCACGGGGATATCTGTGAAGCTACAAGGTGTACTGTGAGGGCGAGATGAACTCACACAGCTGTGACCAGTCACGGGGATATCTGTGAAGCTACAAAGTGTACTGTGAGGGCGAGATGAACTCACACAGCTGTGACCAGTCACGGGGATATCATGTGAAGCTACAAGGAGCAATATGAGGGTTTACACACTGCTGTGACCAGTCACGGGGATATCTGTGAAGCTACAAGGAGCAATATGAGGGTTTACACACTACTGTGACCAGTCACGGGGATATCTGTGGAGCTACAAGGAGCAATATGAGGGTTTACACACTGCTGTGAACAGTCACGGGGATATCTGTGAAGCTACAAGGAGCAATATGAGGGTTTACACACAGCTGTGACCAGTCACGGGGATATCCGTGAAGCTACAAGGAGCAATATGAGGGTTTACACACTACTGTGACCAGTCACGGGGATATCTGTGAAGCTACAAGGAGCAATATGAGGGTTTACACACAGCTGTGACCAGTCACGGGGATATCTGTGAAGCTACAAGGAGCAATATGAGGGTTTACACACTGCTGTGACCAGTCACGGGGATATCTGTGAAGCTACAAGGAGCAATATGAGGGTTTTCACACTGCTGTGAACAGTCACGGGGATATCTGTGAAGCTACAAAGTGTACTGTGAGGGCGAGATGAACTCACACTGCTGTGAACAGTCACGGGGATATATGTGAAGCTACAAGGTGTACTGTGAGGGCGAGATGAACTCACACAGCTGTGACCAGTCACGGGGATATCTGTGAAGCTACAAAGTGTACTGTGAGGGCGAGATGAACTCACACAGCTGTGACCAGTCACGGGGATATCATGTGAAGCTACAAGGAGCAATATGAGGGTTTACACACTGCTGTGACCAGTCACGGGGATATCTGTGAAGCTACAAGGAGCAATATGAGGGTTTACACACCACTGTGACCAGTCACGGGGATATCTGTGGAGCTACAAGGAGCAATATGAGGGTTTACACACTGCTGTGAACAGTCACGGGGATATCTGTGAAGCTACAAGGAGCAATATGAGGGTTTACACACTACTGTGACCAGTCACGGGGATATCTGTGAAGCTACAAAGAGCAATATGAGGGTTTACACACTGCTGTGACCAGTCACGGGGATATCTGTGAAGCTACAAGGAGCAATATGAGGGTTTTCACACTGCTGTGAACAGTCACGGGGATATCTGTGAAGCTACAAAGTGAACTGTGAGGGCGAGATGAACTCACACAGCTGTGACCAGTCACGGGGATATCTGTGAAGCTACAAGGAGCAATATGAGGGTTAACACACTGCTGTGACCAGTCACGGGGATATCTGTGAAGCTACAAGGAGCAATATGAGGGTTTACACACTACTGTGACCAGTCACGGGGATATCATGTGAAGCTACAAGGAGCAATATGAGAGTTTACACACTACTGTGACCAGTCATGGGGATATCTGTGAAGCTACAAAGTGTACTGTGAGGGCGAGATGAACTCACACTGCTGTGAACAGTCACGGGGATATCTGTGAAGCTACAAGGTGTACTGTGAGGGCGAGATGAACTCACACAGCTGTCACCAGTCACGGGGATATCTGTGAAGCTACAAAGTGTACTGTGAGGGCGAGATGAACTCACACAGCTGTGACCAGTCACGGGGATATCATGTGAAGCTACAAGGAGCAATATGAGGGTTTACACACTGCTGTGACCAGTCACGGGGATATCTGTGAAGCTACAAGGAGCAATATGAGGGTTTACACACTACTGTGACCAGTCACGGGGATATCTGTGGAGCTACAAGGAGCAATATGAGGGTTTACACACTGCTGTGACCAGTCACGGGGATATCTGTGAAGCTACAAGGAGCAATATGAGGGTTTTCACACTGCTGTGAACAGTCACGGGGATATCTGTGAAGCTACAAAGTGTACTGTGAGGGCGAGATGAACTCACACTGCTGTGAACAGTCACGGGGATATATGTGAAGCTACAAGGTGTACTGTGAGGGCGAGATGAACTCACACAGCTGTGACCAGTCACGGGGATATCTGTGAAGCTACAAAGTGTACTGTGAGGGCGAGATGAACTCACACAGCTGTGACCAGTCACGGGATATCATGTGAAGCTACAAGGAGCAATATGAGGGTTTACACACTGCTGTGACCAGTCACGGGGATATCTGTGGAGCTACAAGGAGCAATATGAGGGTTTACACACTGCTGTGAACAGTCACGGGGATATCTGTGAAGCTACAAGGAGCAATATGAAGGTTTACACACTACTGTGACCAGTCACGGGGATATCTGTGAAGCTACAAAGAGCAATATGAGGGTTTACACACTGCTGTGACCAGTCACGGGGATATCTGTGAAGCTACAAGGAGCAATATGAGGGTTTTCACACTGCTGTGAACAGTCACGGGGATATCTGTGAAGCTACAAAGTGAACTGTGAGGGCGAGATGAACTCACACAGCTGTGACCAGTCACGGGGATATCTGTGAAGCTACAAGGAGCAATATGAGGGTTAACACACTGCTGTGACCAGTCACGGGGATATCTGTGAAGCTACAAGGAGCAATATGAGGGTTTACACACTACCGTGACCAGTCACGGGGATATCATGTGAAGCTACAAGGAGCAATATGAGAGTTTACACACTACTGTGACCAGTCATGGGGATATCTGTGAAGCTACAAAGTGTACTGTGAGGGCGAGATGAACTCACACTGCTGTGAACAGTCACGGGATATCTGTGAAGCTACAAGGTGTACTGTGAGGGCGAGATGAACTCACACAGCTGTGACCAGTCACGGGGATATCTGTGAAGCTACAAAGTGTACTGTGAGGGCGAGATGAACTCACACAGCTGTGACCAGTCACGGGGATATCATGTGAAGCTACAAGGAGCAATATGAGGGTTTACACACTGCTGTGACCAGTCACGGGGATATCTGTGAAGCTACAAGGAGCAATATGAGGGTTTACACACTACTGTGACCAGTCACGGGGATATCTGTGGAGCTACAAGGAGCAATATGAGGGTTTACACACTGCTGTGACCAGTCACGGGGATATCATGTGAAGCTACAAGGAGCAATATGAGGGTTTACACACTGCTGTGACCAGTCACGGGGATATCTGTGAAGCTACAAGGAGCAATATGAGGGTTTTCACACTGCTGTGACCAGTCACGGGGATATCATGTGAAGCTACAAGGAGCAATATGAGGGTTTACACACAGCTGTGACCAGTCACGGGGATATCTGTGAAGCTACAAGGAGCAATATGAGAGTTTACACACTACTGTGACCAGTCATGGGGATATCCGTGAAGCTACAAGGAGCAATATGAGGGTTTACACACTGCTGTGACCAGTCACGGGGATATCTGTGAAGCTACAAGGAGCAATATGAGGGTTTACACACTGCTGTGACCAGTCACGGGGATATCTGTGAAGCTACAAGGAGCAATATGAGAGTTTACACACTACTGTGACCAGTCATGGGGATATCCGTGAAGCTACAAGGAGCAATATGAGGGTTTACACACTGCTGTGACCAGTCACGGGGATATCTATGAAGCTACAAAGTGTACTGTGAGGGCGAGATGAACTCACACTGCTGTGAACAGTCACGGGGATATCTGTGAAGCTACAAGGTGTACTGTGAGGGCGAGATGAACTCACACAGCTGTGACCAGTCACGGGGATATCTGTGAAGCTACAAGGAGCAATATGAGGGTTTACACACTGCTGTGACCAGTCACGGGGATATCTGTGAAGCTACAAGGAGCAATATGAGGATTTACACACTACTGTGACCAGTCAGGGGGATATCTGTGAAGCTACAAGGAGCAATATGAGGGCTTACACACTACTGTGTGTAAGCCTACACGGTGGTGACATGGAGGTACTTACATGATATACTGCCAGGGAGACAAGATCTTCCCGATGTGCACTGGTCTGTAGTGTGTAGCAGTCTCTGCCCACCATACTACAACTCATGATCAGGTTTCTCTTGGCGTCTCCAACAAACAGCCGGCGTTCCTTGTAATCTGTTAAATATTTCTCAAGTCAAATGTCGGTACAGTTTAAGTGTATGTACTGAATTCCACACAGCAAGCGAAATAGATATCTTAGCAAATGAAAGAATAAAAGGAAATTCAACGATTGTTACGATATCATACATTCAGTACAGTGTACCATTGTGTTTATGACTATGTGTCATACTTTATCTCGAAAGCTAGTTTTTAATGGTAGTAAATTACCTATTGCAAGTCCATTGGGCGTTTGAAGTCCTGATGTTATGATTGAAATTCTATGGGAGCCATCCAGATCACATCTCTCCACCCTAGAGGCCATGTACTCGCCCCAGTTTGTCCAGTAGAGCAGCCTACAGTGACATAACGCGTGTGAAGGTAGACTAATAGTCTGTTCGCTCCTTAAGTGTATATCACTGTTGAAACAAAGCTTTTAATCTGGTCTTTAACAATTTCTCTGTTGTGATGTTAAAAGTTAGGAGACAGGGTGGGTTTTTTAATGTTTGACGACAGTAATGGTCATACCCTTCTTGTGGATGTACCGCTATTCCTCGGACAGTCCCCAACCCAGAGTCCAGCAGAGTGGTCTTTGCGCGCGTCTTTAGTGAGGCAGCTATAATGACGTGGTGGCCAGTATCTGACCAGTAAACATTTTGGTCAACCCAGTCCACCGCGAGTCCTTCTGGCTTATCCACGTCAGTTCGGAACAAAGCCTCAACTGGCTCTATATCCATATTATCCTTAAACCTTGACCTGGGAAGTGCACAGACACATTGTAGTATCAAGTTATTGCTGTTCTCGTGACGACCAGGGACGATCCTTCGGCAACCAATACTTATGTTAAGAAGCAGCTATTGGGGTCTGGTGGTCAAGTTCGGTTAATGCGCAATAACCCAGTTGTGCAGGTCGATGCTCATGATGTCAAAAGCAGGATTGTCTGATCAAGGTCCGACTATACAGGTCATAAACATGGTCTTGATGTAAGTTTAGTCTGAACGATATTTTCTGTAATTCCATGCCTTTACAGTGTCCTTACTATGTATACTATGATTATGAGTAGCATACGTACATGTAGTCATTCGTCGTTTGCGTCCAACTTACATGTAAATGCCCTTCAAACCGGGATCCGTCCAGTAGAGCGCTTTACTTCGGATGTCAAAATCAATGGAAACCGGTGTGGAGGGCGACCCGTATGGAGTGATTTCGCATGATGCCCTGTCAAACTCTCCGTGTTCCAGGGTGTTGAGGTCTACTTTGGTTATGTAATGCTTACCCAGAACCAACAGTATTTCTGAAAATCGCCACATGCAATTGGAATTCCGTACATGGAATCACACGCTTTAACAAAACATGCCAAGATGTACATTAGGTGTCCCAACTTTATATGGGCATGTAGATGATCAAATCAAGGCAGGGGGCGTTGAACGACCCCTGCATGGGAGAACACCTGCCATTCCACAATTTAACTTGAAATCAAGGGTGTTAGCTACTTTAGGATATAAATATAACCGTGCATTTACCTTTGGAATAGGTGTAAGTGAGGCTGTTTACTGCAGAAGTGTCCAGAAATCATGAAAATCATAAAGTAATCATTAACATATCCATTAAATATCCAATGTGTTAGTCCTTGCCTATGGTATATGTTGACAACATTATGTTTGAACGTTTTTGGATTCAAGTGTAACCTGGAATCTTCTGGCACAGGCATCATGGAATGGGATTGTTTAGAATGCATTACTCTACATAAGTGGGCAAGTACCTGCCGTTATTATTTTACATTACAGCAAGACCAACTGTTGACGTCAGGCCATTATTTCCACCATGAATATCAAGTCTAGACACCTGTTGCTGACAGATGAATATTCCAGTTTAGATTTTCTGGGCAATTACACAAACTGCTCAGACCTTGTCTTGTCGTACATCTTACAAGTTCAAAACGATACACGCAGAAGTTTAGTAATTCGTAATATTGCTGCCATTGTAGCTATGTTTAAGGTCCATTAAAATGTTTTGTCAATTAATCAACGTTAGTTTCATAATCAAACACTGTAGTTGTGAGGCGATGCTGTAAAATGTAACACTGTTATGATTTACCAATAAAGAGAAGCTTGACGATTGATTCATCCATGCATGTACCACGTTGACGAAGGTAGCAAGCAAACTTTGGTGGTATATATATGTATGTATATATGTTTTGAACCCACCCAACTGTCTTGCTCCGTTTATGTTAAACGATCTGTTCCGAAACCGCATCCGTTTCATCTTCTTATCAGCATTCTGGACTGAAAGGTGACATATCTGTCAGTTGTTCTGCTCATTATCCCCTACATGCAAACTGTCTAAACACACACACACACACACACACACACACACACACACAAAGAGAGAGAGAGCACAGCACAGCACAGACAGCACACGCACAGCGCACGCTCGCATACATACGTACACATACAAACACACACGTACATACACTCATACAAGTGACAGTTAATGGGTGTTGTAAGCCACAGCACACGTACGTCACAACAAATGGTTCATATTATGATCGACGCCCCATGCAGTCAGTGAAGTCACGGACCACCTAATCAATTACAATGATTATCGCAACGGTAATACTTAATGAAAATGAACTTGGCAAGTAAGTTCAAACACTGAATGACACAAATAGATGTTATGATTAAAAACAACCATGTGCATACCGAGTGGCTGCGAAGTAACATCAAGGACGGCAATGTCTGTGGGGCCATCAGCCTTCGGGCGTACGTCCTCCCACCTCTTCCGTACGAATCTCCTAACAGTGTTCTTTCCAAAGTCAGAGACGTATATCCAGTTCTGAAAATAAGATACAAAGTATGCAGTTCAATATCAGCAATAATCTCACCATACACCACATCACCTTGGATCAGTCCACATCAGTCATATCACATGCCAGTATACAATACTCTTCACATCACCTTGGATCAGTCTACATCAGTCATATCACATGCCAATATACAACCCACTTCACATCACCTTGGATCAGTCCACATCAGTCATATCACATGCCAATATACAACACTCTTCACATCACCTTGGATCAGTCTACATCAGTCATATCACATGTCAATATACAACATTCTTCACATCACCTTGGATCAGTCCACATCAGTCATATCACATGCCAGTATACAACACTCTTCGCATCACCTTGGATCTGTCTACATCAGTCATATCACATGCCAGTACACAACACTTTTCGCATCACCTTGGATCAGTCTACATCAGTCATATCACATGCCAATATACAACATTCTTCACATCACCTTGGATCAGTCTACATCAGTCATATCACATGTCAATATACAACATTCTTCACATCACCTTGGATCAGTCCACATCAGTCATATCAAATGCCAGTATACAACACTCTTCGCATCACCTTGGATCTGTCTACATCAGTCATATCACATGCCAGTACACAACACTCTTCACATCACCTTGGATCAGTCTACATCAGTCATATTACATGCCAATATACAACATTCTTCACATCACCTTGGATCAGTCTACATCAGTCATATCACATGTCAATATACAACATTCTTCACATCACCTTGGATAAGTATACATCAGTCATATCACATGCCAATATACAACCCACTTCACATCACCTTGGATCAGTCTACATCAGTCATATCACATGCCAATATACAACACTCTTCACATCACCTTGGATCATCAGTCATATCACATGCCAATATACAACCCACTTCACATCACCTTGGATTAGTAAACATCAGTCATATCACATGCCAATATACAACCCACTTCACATCACCTTGGATCAGTCTACATCAGTCATATCACATGTCAATATACAACACTCTTCACATCACCTCGGATCAGTCTACATCAGTCATATCACATGTCAATATACAACACTCTTCACATCACCTTGGATCAGTCTACATCAGTCATATCACATGCCAATATACAACATTCTTCACATCACCTTGGATCAGTCTACATCAGCCATATCACATGTCAATATACAACATTCTTCACATCACCTTAGATCAGTCTACATTAGTCATATCACATGTTAATATACAACCCACTTCACATCACCTTGGATCAGTCCACATCAGTCATATCACATGCCAATATACAATACTCTTCACATCACCTTGGATCAGTCTACATCAGTCATATCACATGTCAATATACAACATTCTTCACATCACCTTGGATCAGTCTACATCAGTCATATCACATGCCAATATACAACACTCTTCGCATCACCTTGGATCAGTCCACATCAGTCATATCACATGCCAATATACAACACTCTTCACATCACCTTGGATCAGTCTACATCAGTCATATCACATGTCAATATACAACACTCTTCACATCACCTTGGATCAGTCTACATCAGTCATATCACATGTCAATATACAACACTCTTCACATCACCTTGGATCAGTCTACATCAGTCATATCACATGCCAATATACAACATTCTTCACATCACCTTGGACCAGTCTACATCAGCCATATCACATGTCAATATACCACATTCTTCACATCACCTTAGATCAGTCTACATTAGTCATATCACATGTTAATATACAACCCACTTCACATCACCTTGGATCAGTCTACATCAGTCATATCACATGCCAATATACAATACTCTTCACATCACCTTGGATCAGTCTACATCAGCCATATCACATGTCAATATACAACATTCTTCACATCACCTTGGATCAGTCTACATCAGTCATATCACATGCCAATATACAACACTCTTCACATCACCTAGGATCAGTCCACATCAGTCATATCACATGCCAGTATACAACCCACTTCACATCACCTTGGATAAGTATACATCAGTCATATCACATGTCAATATACAACATTCTTCACATCACCTTGGATCAGTCTACATCAGTCATATCACATGCCAGTATACAACCCACTTCACATCACCTTGGATCAGTCTACATCAGTGATATCACATGCCAATATACAACACTCTTCGCATCACCTTGGATCAGTCTACATCAGTCATATCACATGTCAATATACAACACTCTTCACATCACCTTGGATCAGTCCACATCAGTCATATCACATGCCAGTATACAACCCACTTCACATCACCTTGGATCAGTCTACATCAGTGATATCACATGCCAATATACAACACTCTTCGCATCACCTTGGATCAGTCTACATCAGTGATATCACATGCCAATATACAACACTCTTCACATCACCTTGGATCAGTCCACATCAGTCATATCACATGTCAACATACAACACTCTTCACATCACCTTGGATCAGTCTACATCAGTCATATCACATGCCAATATACAACACTCTTCGCATCACCTTGGATCAGTCTACATCAGTGATATCACATGCCAATATACAACCCACTTCACATCACCTTGGATCAGTCTACATCAGTCATATCACATGCCAATATACAACACTGTTCACATCACCTGGGACCAGGCAAGACCAGTCATATCACATGCCAATATACAACACTCTTCACATCACCTTGGATCATCAGTCATATCACATGCCAATATACAACACTCTTCACATCAGTCTACATCAGTCATATCACATGCCAATATACAACACTCTTCACATCACCTGGGACCAGGCAAGACCAGTGTTATCACATGCCAATATACAACACTCTTCACATCAGTCTACATCAGTCATATCACATGCCAATATACAACACTGTTCACATAACCTGGGACCAGGCAAGACCAGTCATGTCTCCTTGTTGTGGGTCTCTGTACACGTCCAGTCCGCTGAAACCACTGCTGTGCATTGCCATTAACGCGTTGATGGTGAGATCTGTCCAGTAAACCTTGTTGGTTTTGAAATCTGTTGGCAGAAAAATTTATTAATGTTTATCCAGCTAAAATCATATATTTTTAAATTTACAAGTTATGATTTTATGGTTATGATTATGATATAGTATGACCAGAAATTATTGAGAATTTTAGGAATATGTTTAATTGGATTCCTAGTATAAACAACCTTGACCAGCTATCAAGTGCTTGGTTTCATTCAAGACAGACAACTCCGTTAATCCTTTTCATTAGTTTGTGAAGAGTTATCCCCCTTTGTTTACTTGCTAGCAGACGACATTTTCAGTGATCCTCAGTATGGATGATTTAGAGAAGAGGAAGTTGATTTTTGAGTATTATAACATCAGATCAGCTAAAGTGATTTCAAGTAGAACAGGCATCCCTTTGTCCACTGTTTATCGTGTTTTGAAAAATATTGGAAATGGATATGGCATTGAGCACCAGGGAGGCGCAGGTAGGCCCAGAAAACTGACTGTCGGTGACGGGAGGCGGCTTGGTATTCTTGTTTCTAAAAACAAACGAAGGAGTTTAGAAAACTTCAGGCTGGATATGATTGATAGAGGAACTGTGGTTGTCTGTAAGGAGACAATTAGAACTCAGCTGCATGCAATGGGTTGGCAGAAAAGTCGAGGAATTCCATCTCTGATCAGGAAACCTGAACAAAAGGAGCGAAAGTTGAACTGGTGCTTACAGCATAGATATTTTAACTGGGACAATGTGATTTTCTCAGATGAAAGTTGTGTGTGGCTGTTTCCTAATACACTGAAATTCTGGACCAAACAAACTGAAAAACCTTTGTATCAGCGCCCAAACTACAGTCCGAAATTTAACGTGTGGGGTGCCATATCTGTGTTAGGGGCAACGCCCCTCTGTGTATAACGAAGGTAAGTTACCAATTGTTAGACTGCCGATGTTGGCCATGTCGTCAACCAAAACTGTCCGGCCTTCTCCATTCATACCACACTTGTATATTCTCGACTTCCATGTGTTGTCAGCCAGAAAGAAAACACTGCAACACGTGTATACATGACCGCCAGGATACACTTAACACGAAGATAGATCCTACATAAGGGACAATCAGGACACAAGGTTGCGGAGTAACGGATAGATCCTACATGATTGATAGAGGAACTGTGGTTGTCTGTAAGGAGACAATTAGAACTCAGCTGCATGCAATGGGTTGGCAGAAAAGTCGAGGAATTCCATCACCGTTCAGGAAACCTGAACAAAAGGAGCGAAGGTTGAACTGGTGCTTACAGCATAGAAATTTTAACTGGGACAATGTGATTTTCTCAGATGAAAGTTGTGTGTGGCTGTTTCCTAATACACTGAAATTCTGGACCAAACAAACTGAAAAACCTTTGTATCAGCGCCCAAAGTACAGTCCGAAATCTAACGTGTGGGGTGCCATATCTGTGTTAGGGGCAACGCCCCTCTGTGTATTTGAAGGGAATATGAACAGTGAGCGGTACACAGATATTCTCGAGGGACATTTACTTCCATCTGCTCTCGTGTTCTATGGAAATGTTTGGATTTTCCAGCAGGACAACGACCCAAAACATCGTTCAAAGCATCCATAGGCCTGGTTTCGGACCCAAAATATGACATTATTAGATTGTCCAAGCTATAGCCCTGACCTAAATCCAATAGTAAATGTTTGGGGACTTATGAAGGAAAGTGTCAATAAGAAACATCTGACAAATATTGCTGAAATGAAAGAAGAGGTGGTCCGATATTGGGACAGCATGGACCACGATTTTCTACTTTCTTTGATCAGTAGTATGCCCCGCCGCATTGAAGCCCGCATTGCTGCCCATGGTGACTTGACAAAATACTAACTGTTCACCTGTCTTTGAATCTGGAGTTATGTTCTGCTAATATTCACGTTTAATACGTGAGTAATGAGTGAAAAAAATAAATTACAATCTTAAATTCTCACTAATTTCTGGTTGTACTGTATAACGAAGGTAAGTTACCAATTGTTAGACTGCCGATGTTGGCCATGTCGTCAACCAAAACTGTCCGGCCTTCTCCATTCATACCACACTTGTATATTCTCGACTTCCATGTGTTGTCAGCCAGAAAGAAAACACTGCAACACGTGTATACATGACCGCCAGGATACACTTAACACGAAGATAGATCCTACATAAGGGACAATCAGGACACAAGGTTGCGGAGTAACGGATAGATCCTACATGAAGCACCATCAAGACACAGGTGATACAAGGTTGGGAAGTAACGGATAGATCCTACATGAAGCACCATCAGGACACAGGTGACACAAGGTTGGGAAGTAACGGATAGATCCTACATGAAGCACCATCAGGACACAAGGTTGCGGAGTAACGGATAGATCCTTCATGCAGCACCATCAGGACACAAGGTTAGGAAGTAACGGATAGATCCTACATGCAGCACCATCAGGACACAAGGTTGGAGAGTAACGGATAGATCCTACATGCAGCACAAACAGGACATAAGGTTGGGGAGTAACGGATAGATCCTACATGAAGCGCCATCAGGACACAAGGTTGGAGAGCAACGTATAGATCCTACATGAAGCACCATCAGGACACAGGTGACATAAGCTTGGGAAGCAACGGATAGATCCTACATGCAGCACCACCAGGACACAAGGTTGGGGATTAACGGATAGAGCCTACATGCAGCACCACAAGGACACAAGTTCGGGGAGTAACGGATAGATCCTACATGCAGCACCATCAGGACGCAAGGTTGGGGTGTAACGGATAGATCCTACATGAAACACCATCAGGATAGAAGGTTGGGGTGTAACGGATAGATCCTACACGCAGCACCATCAGGACACAAGGTTGGGGTGTAACGGATAGATCCTTCATGCGGCACCATCAGGATACAAGGTTGGGGTGTAACGGATAGATCCAACATGAAGCACCATCAGGACACATGGTTGGGGACGAACGGATACATCCTATATGCAGCACAATCAGGACAAAGGCTGGGGAGTAACGGATAGATCCTACATGAAGCACCATCAGGATGCAAGGTTGGGGATTAACGGATAGATCCTACATGAAGCACCATCAGGATGCAAGGTTGGGGATTAACGGATAGATCCTACACGAAGCACCATCAGGACACAAGTTTGGGGAGTAACGGATAGATCCTACATGAAGGACCATCAGGACACTAGGTTGGGGAGTAACGGATAGATCCTACATGCAGCACCATCAGGACACAAGGTTGGGGTGTAACGGATAGATCCTACATGCAGCACCATCAGGACACAGGTGATACAAGGTTGGGAAGTAACGGATAGATCCTACATGAAGCACCATCAGGACACAAGGTTGGGGAGTGACCGATAGATCCTACATGCAGCACCATCAGGACACAAGCTTGGGGAGTAACGGATAGATCCTACATAAAGCACCATCAGGACACAGGTGATACAAGTTTGGGAAATAACGGATGGATCCTACATGCAGCACCATCAGGACACAAGGTTGGGGTGTAACGGATAGATCCTATATGCCACACTATCAGGACACAAGGTTGGGGAGTAACGGATGGATCCTACATGCAGCACCATCAGGACACAAGGTTGGGGTGTAACGGATAGATCCTACATGCAGCACTATCAGGACTAAAGTTTGGGGAGTAACGGATAGATCCTACATGCAGCACTATCACGACACAAGGTTGGGAGTGACGGATAGATCCTACATGCAGCACCATCAGGACACAAGGTTGGGTAGTAACGGATAGGTCCTACATGCAGCACCATCAGGAAACAGGGTTGGGGAGAAATGGATAGATCCTACATGCAGCACCATCAGGACACAAGCTTGGGGAGTAACGGATAGATCCTACATGCAGCACCATCAGGATGCAAGTTTGGGGTGTAACGGATAGATCCTACATGAAGCACCATCAGGACACAGGGTTGGGGATTAACGGATAGATCCTACATGCAGCACCATCAGGACACAAGGTTGGGGAGTTACGGATAGATCCTACATGCAGCACCATCAGGACACAAGGTTGGGGTGTAATGGATAGATCCTACATGCAGCACTATCAGGACACAAGGCTTGGGAGTTACGGATAGATCCTACATGCAGCACCATCAGGACACAAGGTTGGTGAGCAACGTATAGATCCTACATGAAGCACCATCAGGACACAGGTGACACAAGCTTGGGAAGTGACGGATGGATTCTACATGCAGCACCACAAGGACACAAGTTTGGGGAGTAACGGATAGATCCAACATGCAGCACCATCAGGACGCAAAGTTGGGGTGTAACGGATAGATCCTACATGCAGCACCACAAGGACACAAGTTTGGGGAGTAACGGATAGATCCAACATGCAGCACCATCAGGACGCAAAGTTGGGGTGTAACGGATAGATTCTACATGCGGCACCATCAGGACACAAGGTTGGGGAGTAACGGATAGATCCTACATGCAGCACCATCAGGATACAAGGTTGGGGTGTAACGGATAGATCCTACATGAAACACCATCAGGATACAAGGTTGGGGTGTAACGGATAGATCCTACATGCAGCACCATCAGGACACAAGGTTGTGGTGTAACGGATAGATCCTACACGCAGCACCATCAGGATACAAGGTTGGGGAGTAACGGATAGATCCTACACGCAGCACCATCAGGACACAAGGTTGGGGAGTAACGGATAGATCCTACACGCAGCACCATCAGAACACAAGGTTGGGGTGTAACGGATAGATCCTGTATGCAGCACAATCAGAACACAAGGTTGGGGAGTAACGGATAGATCCTACATGCAGCACCATCAGGATACAAGGTTGGGGTGTAACGGATAGATCCTACACGCAGCACCATCAGGACGCAAGGTTGGGGTGTAACGGATAGATCCTACACGCAGCACCATCAGGACACAAGGTTGGGGAGTAACGGATAGATCCTACACGCAGCACCATCAGGAAAGAAGGTTGGGGTGTAACGGATAGATCCTACACGCAGCACCATCAGGACACAAGGTTGGGGTGTAACGGATAGATCCTGTATGCAGCACAATCAGGACACAAGGCCGGGGAGTTAGGGATAAATCCTTCATGCAGCACCATCAGGACACAAGTTTGGGGAGTAACGGATAGATCCTACATGAAGCACAAACAGGACACAAAGTCGGGGAGTAACCGATAGATCCTACATGAAGCACCATCAGGACACAGGTGACACAAGCTTGGAAAGAAACGGATAGATCCTACATGCAGCACCATCAGGGCACAGGGTTGGGGATTAACGGGTAGATGCTACAAGAAGCACCATCAGGACACAAGGTTGGGGTGTAACGGATACATCCTACATGCAGCATCATCAGGACACAAGGTTGGGGAGTAACGGATAGATCCTACATGCAGCACTATCAGGACACAAGGTTGGGGAGTTACGGATAGATCTTGCATGCAGCACCATCAGGACACAAGGTTGGGGAGTAACGGATAGATCCTACATGAAGCACCATCAGGACACAGGTGACACAAGGTTGGGAAGTAACGGATAGATCCTACATGAAACACCATCAGGACACAAGGTTGGGAAGTAACGGATAGATCCTACATGCAGCACCATCAGTACAAACCGACTCCGAGGATTTGTTTGAAAAAGTAAGCCCTCGGCAGAGCGAAATTGCGGAGGGCCCGACACGATTTTCCAAGGCCAAGGGCTTTGTTTTTCAAACAAAACCTAGGCGAAGGTTTTGATCCAACTTATGAACCGACCGAAGATATATTTTAGATAAAAGTTTGATATTTGGTATTTATTGCTGAAATCAACTGGGATGCGACTGGCAGTCGACACCTTGACTTGCACGCACAATGCACGTGCTCTGCACGCGCTGCCCGAACTCCCCGTCTTGCGATCCTTCGTAGCCAAGTGGATAAAACCGCCAAGCAAGTAGGCGAAGGGTTGCAGGATCGAAACCAGGCATGGGCACTTTATACTGGAAGTTTTCAACAATTTGATATTTTACGATCGAATTCAGTGATAGCTAGACAAAGTTAGATCAATATTAAAAGCAAATAATAGTTCCATGTCAAGGGCTATTGCTCAGAAAATCCCCGGGATGCGGGTAATCTGTAGAAAATCCACGGGCTATCTTGGAGAATGCCCGCGAAACTGCCTGTAGAGGTTTACTCGCGATCGGTAAAAGGAGAACCTGGAGAGACAATAGAGTGACGTCACTGGAGGTTTATAAGTATCAGGTATGCACATTCACGTGTCTGTAAAGGGATTACTTGAAAGCGACACCGTGGTTGTATTGGGAGATACGCTTGAGTCGTTATCATCCGTTTTATTTCTTGGAACTTACCCTTGGAATGGATCTACTGCAATGGCGTTGAGGTTTCCTCCAGTGTAGACAACCTTGGAGGCACTTCCGTCCATGGTTGTTGCAGATACTTTGTTGTATAGCGTATCAATCCAGAAGAGCAGCTGATGGAGCCAGTCGACGGACAGGTCGCCCACGTGTACAGACGTGTCCTCAAGGACTGCTGTAGTACTCTCTATCTCGAGCGAGTCTGTTAAGTCGGCGCTGGGGGAGCAGATAATCGTAATAATCATAAGCCTCTGGGAGACTAGCAAGGCTAACATGTAGCATCGTCCGTGAACGGTTCACAGCGTTGTATTGTGACGAATGTAGGATAAATAGATTCAACAGCTCTCAGTACGGAGGGAGACTATAACACACGTGTAGGGAAGCTAGGTAGGCTGGTCGACTGACGAGAAACGTAACATATGTACATACCGTACAATGGAAAACTTTGTGGTTAAGTAAAGTTGTTTTCTGCGTGTGTCCACACCGATCCCGCGTGCATTCCCTATACTTTCCCCGGACACGATGAACGTGCTGAAGTTGTCCATCACATTGACACGTTTGATGAGGCCGCTCTCAACAGACATCAGGTAAGTAGCTGACAAGTGTAACATTTTTCATTTAACTGGTACAGACATAGTTGATTCTTGCAACCAAGCGATATGTATATATTACCATTTTGTGTATCATGTATGTATGTGCGTTTGTTTGTTGTTTAACGCCGCGCTCAGCAATATTTCAGCTATATTACTGCTGTATGTTAATAATCGAGTCTGGGCCAGACATTTCAGTGATCAACAGCATGAGCATCATTCTACGCAATGGGGATGAGTCAACCAAGTCCGCGAGCCTGGCCACCCGATCCCGTTCTTACGATAAGAATGGGTTGCTGAAGATCAATTCTAACCTGGATCTTCATGGGTCAAACATGTATGTATTACACATATATATAGGTATATGTCATCCAATTAGGAGAAAATGGCCCACAAATTTTGAGAACGTGGACCTAAATAAGAGTTTTGACTTAAGTCAGAGTTTTTACTCAAATTTGAGAAAACGCAGGAAAATGCATTTCCCAGAATATACTGATATCAATATTAAACTCAAACTTAGTAGAAAATTTGAGTTTGTTGGATAGATTACTTAAGTTGTTTGTGCTTTTTTTTTATTTAAAAAATGCAGTTGAGTTAAAAATTCAGCTGTTTCAAATTGTCAAACTCAGTTTGAAATTTGCGTAAAAATTTAAGTTTGTTTCGAGAAATCGGGGCCTGGTTTTTGTTGGTGGTTAATATCTATACAGTACGCTGACAAGTTAGGATTCCATTGTTCGTGATAATTTGTCGGCTTTGTATTTTAAATAGGATGGTTCTTGATTAAATATTAAAGCTCACGGGTTATCTTAAATCATTACGGATTTGGGTTATTGTTATTCCTCCAATATTTCTGGTCATTTTTTAATTAACATTTTGGGACCATTTTCACTCACATTTGGGGCCATTTTCTCAAAACCGGGTTGGAGTCTCTTTGCAAGGGGACATATCCTGTCGTGTCTGCGAGTGTGTGAGTGAGTGTGTGTGTGCATGCATTTGTGTATGTGCTAGCGTTTGTGTGTTCGCACGGTTAACATCTGCCCATCTCAGTAGCCTATGTATTTACGTACCATTCCGTAATATATTCTGTCAGTGACCCACATTAAATATTGTGATGAGAAAGTGTAGAGAACATGTCTGAGAGTATTGTGTGATTAGCTTCAAACCATTGCACAATAAATGTTCGTCCGAATTGTCGTCACAATTACTGCGGTTGTCACATACAGTCTTGAAACCAACGCAGCGTCTGGCTCCCTTCAGACAGCTGAAGCCTGCCGGATCGCAGGTCCTTCTTGTCACACCTGAGAACGACAGACAAGACAGTAAGTCACTGATCACGCGCGAATATAGGCCTTTAGAAAACAAGCGTGAAGAATTCACAACGCACATAAACTATCGCAAACCCAGGGGAGAAGGGAACAAAGCGCATTTCGTATATCATTGGTCGCAAATCGACGCCCATCGAGTTATTGGCGTGAATCAACACTGGATAGATATGGGAGAACAGCTGACTAGACTTTTGAGAGTCTCTCACAATGGTGTATCATGACAGTCAGGCATTGTCTTTGTCAACTGCACAGTGGCAGTCAGCATATGTGAATTCATGGTGCTATGAATGTAAGTCAAGAAAGGGCATATTTCAGCATGGAATCGTGTATTGCCTGTGTCAAGTCATGGATGACGGTCGTATAATTAATGCAGACAAAACCGAGGTATCTGTAATTGCTACTTCTCTAAGACTACAGAAATGCTGCATCAGCAGTCGAACTATTGGTCACGAATCCATTCCAATCCCACAGTCCTTTAAAGATCTTGGAGTCTACCTTGAGTCGTCCCTAACTATGGAAGACCACATTGATTATCTAGAGATATCTTCAAGAATATTGGTTCTCTAGAAATGCCATGGCAACACTCATGGGATCACTTCTTTACCGCTTGGATGACCGAAACAGCCTCCGATGTGGCATTTCTAAGGATCATGTCACTGATTGGAAAGATTGCAGATTACATCTGCAAGGCTAGGTACTAAGAGTAAACCTACAGAATACACTCAACCTGCTCTCAGATCACTTCACTGCCTACAAATAAACGAAACAATACACTTCAAATTCTTATGTCTTGCCTACGAATAAGCCCACAAGAACTCTCCCCTTCCCCCATATGTTTATACTCCTACAACAGTGTATCAACCTTCGTTCAACTGACAAATTCGTCCTTTCTGTACCTGCCTACGAGATGAAGACAATTTGTGCCAGCTCCTTTAAACACTCTGCTGCTGTGCTATGGAACTCTTCCCTTCACCTCAGATGCGTTCCTTCCTTGACTACCTTTAACTCTTACTCAAAGACCCATCTGTTTCTTAATGACTGACAATTATTCATCGTTTAGTTGCATGTCCATGGGGCATGAAGTTCAGCGCCATATAAGTGGCCTAATCATTGAATTATTAAACATAGTACATACCTACATGATGGCTACTTGATTACTACCAAATTAATTTAGCTAATGAATACCATGAAGTGTGTTCATAGTTGTTTAAGCAAAGGAATTTCATCATTTTACTGTATAATCAAGCAATCTCCCCACTGAGCACGTTTTCTGTACAGGACACTTGACAGAAACTATGCAGGAAAACATGAACATTTTAGGACTGGTGTACACGTATGTACACTTTACTTTTTGATTTCTGTCCGTTGGCTTCTGTACTGCAGCTATGACCGTCAGGATTCAGACTGGTCGTATCCGGACACTCGCAGCGATAGCCTTCAGCATCCCCGGGTTGTCCAACTGGCAGACAGAAATGGGAACAGGGGGCTGCTTCACACTGAGTAGTGCCTGAAATATAGCACGACAGCAGATGTCATTACAAGGAAACAGTGCTCAGGGTACATGCGGTAACTTGCCACAAAGTCCCTTTTGATGACTTCTTCTTCAATATTTTCATCTCAAGGGACATCTACGCTTGAGGCAGATTGTCATTCACATGCTTACTATTCATAGTATATCATTTATAAAAGCGCATAATGATTTCACGACTCAAATAATGGCATTTACATGAGTAGCCCCTGTTAACCTTTTCTTCCACACCCAGTTGACAATGACAAGATTCAGTTAATGTTTTCACTTATGCCAACTTGTTGTGGTAACGACAGTGGCAGTGTTGACTGTACAATCTAGTACTGGAACCTACTGGGTGGCTGTGAACTCTGGTAAAAAGATCTTGATGTCTCTGATAGGTCCTTCATGCTGAGATAGCAGCTGTTCTTGATGGGGTTCAAGGTGGAGGTCAACTTGCTTCACTTTTCCTGATTTAACTTCACCCCAGTATATACTTGTCTGATGAACACCGAAACAGTAATATCAGTCAACAAAACAACAATTCAGCCATATAACCAGGATCTGGACACGTTTGGGGTTGAACATGTGGTGGGTTTAATTACGGGAAAGACCATTTTCCTCCATGAAATTTATTGTAGGGAATTTTCAAAGAAGGGATTTCTTCAAGTTTTTAGCGTTTAATAAAAGGGTATAGACGTTTGGCACTAACTAACATGTTTAGAAGTCTATAGAAGAAGTACACAATCTTCCGTTGCCAGCAGTTCCTATACGATAGAAATACTAACAGTTATGAAGCAACCACAAATGTTTGAACACACATCACTTTTACAATCTACTGGGGAGAACTGTCGTGGTTATACATGGCGGTCTTCCTAGTCACCATTATCTCACCTTGGTCGGTGTCTATATTTTATATATATTCACACAGCCACTATTGTACATGGGTTTCAATGAGTACATGTGTATACCCATTTCCAATAGGGGCTGTGAGAAATAAGACATTCTACTGTCACTGTCTTGAGTGGTATAACATCGCGGTGCTGAGTCTCAAACAGCAACATAAACAACTGTTGTTCATTACCCTGTTGTTGTGGGTGTGCACGGCCAGCCCGGCAGTGGTATACCACTTCTGTAGCCTGTGTTCTTTTCTTCGGTCTCCACCATCAAGACTACAGCTAGATATCATTCTCCTGCCAGCGTCGAGCCAGTAGAGCCGTTTTGTAACATGGTCTATACACATAACAATCAATAAGCTGAGAGTGTATGGAATGTTACGAAGTGTTCGGGATTAAGTACTGCTAATTAAACACTTGGTGGTAACAGAAACACAGATCAAATATATTCTACTTTACTGTGAACGTCGTTTTCATAACATTCGATTCAATACCAAACATAAGACCAGACCGCAGATGTTACCACTAACTGCAACAGTACGCCGAAACAGTGATTGGTTTTGTCATATTAATGGAACCCTCCCGGCTATTACCTATTGCCAGACCAGTTATACTGATAGTGTTGTCATTGACCACCATTTGCCTGTCACTCCTGTCACGGCGGTACCGCTGTATTCTCCTGCCCAACTCAGTCACGTACAACCACCTGCAGGGTTTAAAATAGTCAGCACAAACAAGTCAGCACAAGCAAATAGATATGTTGTGTTAACTTGTCCCATCGTTTAGTCTATAACAAGTAGATATGTTGTGTTAACTTGTCCCATCGTATAGCCTATAACAAATAGATATGTTGTGTTAACTTGTCCTATTGTATGTTCCATAAAAAGTAGGTCTGTTGTGTTTACGTGCCCTATCGTACAGTTAAAACGAACAGATATGTTCTGCAACTTATTTGTAATTTTTTAGAAGCTGGAGAGTCGGATAAGGGCAAACTGTGATTGTCTTTATCAGATATATAACAAGTAGATGTGTTGTGACAATTCACACTATAATATCGTCTATAACAAGTAGATGTGTTGTGACAATTCACACTATAATATCGTCTATAACAAGTAGATGTGTTGTGACAATTCACACTATAATATCGTCTATAACAAGTAGATGTGTTGTGACAATTAACACTATAATATCGTCAGTAGTATACACAATGGGGCTACGGGACCAGGTTTTTAAATTGAGCCCTTGGGAAGTCCCGTAGCCCCATTGTGTATCCTACTACTGAGGTGCATGCAAAATTTGACGAAAATCGGTCTTATAGTTTCTGAAATATTTGACTTTTAAGCGAGCATGGGGTCGGTCGGAAGAAAGGCTCGGTGTAAGGGTGGGTGGCTGGCTGGCTACATTAAGCAGATAAATAGACATGCAAGATTGATAAAAAAAAATCATGACGAGAATCTATCATCACACGGTGGGTGATTTGTAAGGGACTGTGTCGTGAGGTACGATCATCAACTCCTCTCTGACGAATGCTCATGGCGGTCCGTCTTTCAAGTAGTACAAGTTCATTTCGGTGTCTTTGGTGTCGACAAGGTCTACGTTGTACGTTTTCATGGACCATATTGGATCTGTATTGCGTTTTCTGCTGTCTCCCTCGTATTCCCCCCGGCTGGTACAAGTACCTAACGCTGACCCGGTCCGGTAATGTTTTCTCTGTTTTATCGCGACGTGCTGCTGCCGACGACGATTCGACGATGTCATTTTGATGGCTTCGACGGGTCTCTTGCCCACGAGTCTGGTGACTTCGTTGTTGATGACATCCACCACTCGCGGTAAGCGTACGACCCATTCCGTGTTTCTGTTTCCGGGATCCATTAAATCCTGCGAGTATTGGTGTGAGAACAGACGTTCGGCTAAGGTGCGATTGAATCTCTCGACTATGGCTTGGCTACGGTGAGCTCCCGCCACACCTCGTCTCACTTGGAATTTGTGCTTGGCCAGCAGCTGTGACACGACTCCCATGAACTTGCGTCCGGGATCAATTTGCAATATGGCAGGCCATGTCAAGCGACTGTTTGTATATGCGTTCTAAGGCTTTGGCGACTTCGTTCGAATCTTTGGTCATCAACGGTTCGGCTTCCTTGTAGCGACTGGCGACGTCGACGACTGTCAGGGCATACTTGTAAGTTTTACGCCTCACCTTGTCGTGAGGGAGAAACAGGAGGTCGGTTTGGTGGACGCGATTCGTCGTTGAAATGTCGAATTTTCTTATTGGGATGTATCGAGGCGCCGGCAGGTAGACTTGCCAGATGGCATGTTTCTTAAGCCAAGCTTCGGCGACGTCTTCCGAGACTCGAGCGGCTTTGGCGAGTTTCGGGATTGCGTCCGCGCCTTTCCAGTACCCGCGTGGGCTGTAATAAATTTTCTCTATGATGTAAGCGTTCAATTATTCGATACGCGTTTGTGCCTGTATGCATAAGTGGTGACTCCGTCGATGGTGATCCATCGTTTCGTGTCCATGGACGACAGCGAGGTCTTGTTGATTCTCAGTCGGTATATCCTGTGTCCGTCGCTTCTCAGCATGTTCATTTGGTGTTTGAACGTTTTATTCTTGAACAGGGCTTCCTTGAATCTGGCGTGTTTGATGTGTTTCTTCACCACGTGTTTTTTCACGCCTTTCGCCTTTCGGATTTCATCGGCGGCAGCTTTTATTGATGGAATACATCTTGGGTCTCAAGCTGGCGATCGGCGTGCCCGCGCATTCGTCCTTCATCTTGCCGAGCACTTTTTTGTTGACTTGGCTGTGCATAGGGTGATCTTTAGGGTAGTCGCTGGTGTCGTACAGGTGCATGTGTTTCTTCATCTTCTCGTGCACGTCCTCGGTGTGAATTTCCATCAGCAGGGAATCTGTGTCGGTGTACAGCACTTCGCACCTGTCGCCGTACTGCTTTTTCAGCTCGTTGTAGTAGAAATCGTAAATCAAGTGTTTGGATAAGTCGAGGATGCTCATCCCCACGTAAACGGGCCGGTTGAATTTGATGTGGCTTTTGTTCATGTGCAGCGCTGCCAAGTCGTCATAGAATATCTTGCTTCGGTTGAACGCCGAGCTGGCTATGAGTTTCCTGAGTTTTTCTTCCTCACTGTCTCTGACTACTTTCACGTTAACGCGTTTTCTCAAATTCTCTATAGTCTTGCCGAACACCGAGTTGTTCATGAGTTTGTACAAGTTTTTTTAGAAGTCTCTCGTGGCTTGTTTTCACAGATTCATGTTCAACCGAATGTAAGGTTCCATCCATGGACTTTGATCGAACTGGAGCTGCCTGTGTATTTTCGTGAGTTTCATTCCCAGCAACAAGTACAGCTGCAGATTGCAATAGTGAACAACGTATTTTGACTTGTTCAAGTCTAGGTACGACCCTCCTTTGAATTGTACGTAGTTCGCTATGTCCAGACAGACCATGTCAATCGTGTCCACGACCCAGCCTGAAACCATTGGCGTGTAGTGTTCCAGGGATTCTTGTATTTTTGCAACGAGGTGTCTATGGACGCGTTGACAGACTCGGGTTGAGTAGCGACTTCTTGCTTGCCTCTGAAGTAAGGCTGGATGTGCTCGGTGGTGCCGTCCGTCTGCTGTTTGTCCAGTGACATTTTCACCGTGAGTTGAAATTTGAGACTTCCCAGATCGTTCAGTTCCTTGCCGACTTTGTCTACGACCAGCAGTTTGATGTCGGCGACGTCCATGTTTTTGTCAACGTCCATCCTCCAGCCTTTCAGATACTTACCTACTGAGTGCTTCGTCCGCACGAACCGTATTTCGATGGGTTTGTGTTCCTCCAGCAGTTCAAGAACCTCGGCTTTCCCAATGCGCGAATAACCTCTGAGCCCACGCTCCTTCGCTCAGAGTTTGAGCTGTTTCACCGTGGGTTGAGGAGGTTCGTCTTTCATGCAGAGCAATCTCAGCAACAGAGGTTTCCTCAAACGTGAGTAACTGATCACTCCGCATTTTTTGGCAATCCTTTTCAGTTCTCGAACGGTAATCATCGTTGCTATATCAATGTGTGAAAAACTTTTTCTAAATGAAAAAATAATTATATTCAGATGCGAAATCAAATCTCTAATAGGTTGTTCGCTATAGTCAGGTGTGAAGTCAAATCTCTAGTAGGATTTTCATCGCTGTGAAGTAAAAATCTCTAGTAGTTTTAGGTGTGCGAAGTATGTGTCGCTGTTAAATGTTAGCAACCCCGTCAATACGTTGATAGTTAAACTTTCAACCGACTTTTTAAAAAAAAAAGAAGCGATTTTCGTGATGCATGTTATTCATTTGTATTCTGAGCAGTCGGTGGCTTTCGTTGAGAGATGAGATGGCCTCATACCACGTCCACTCCATTTGCTTTGCAATGACGATAATGGCATTTCACACCCACGCCGCACACTACGCACATGTAATTCACGAAACCATTTCGTATGGACATCATGTGTATGCTGCAATATTTGGTGGTGCATTTCTTGCCGCAGGTTTTGTTTTTTCCAAGCAGTAATGAGGTGAGCATCTTCCCATTTTTATATATATACACACATAAATATATTTTAGTCTAATTGTTTGGCGATGAACACTGTCGCCGCTAGACCCAGTGCAACGAAAATCAGTTCCCGGTCTTCTGTTCTGTGGAAGGCGTGTAAAACTGTGAGAGGGTGGGTTCGTTGTCGAGAGGTTCGAGTCGTTTGCCGGTGAGCAGGTAGTATTCTCGCATGGCATCGTCGACGTTCTTGAACGTTTGAATGGCGTGGTTTTCGCACGAGAGTTGGTCGTTGATGAACTGTATTCTCTGCACGCGTTTTTTTGGTGTACTCGGGTTGAGCGGCTTGCAGTTTCTCCAAGGCCAAATCGTGACGTTTACGTTCTGCTTCCATTTCGGCAGCGTTCGATGTTCATAATTTGGAGAAGAGATAATTGCTGCCTGAAAATGCGAGGGCACTGACTAATGCACCACCGACCATCATGGCGATAGTAGCCATTTCTTTTTATTTATTTTTACAAAAATATTATATTATTACTTCAAAATATTTTCCCGTATAATTCCTTGTTTCAAGAGAATGTCCTTGGTGGCCATCGCCATCCCTAAGTCAATGACGAGCATGCCCTGTCCTGCACGTTGCAATCGAGTTTGATCGTAGGCTGTTTGAGAACCATTTTCGTTAAGTGAGCGTAACCTACGGTTAGTCCGGCGACTACGGCGGCGTGATATGCATCGCTGAGGAATGTTTTTCCTTCAGATGACATCA